TTCCACGGGTCATTTTGGTTTTGTCCATTTATTTCGTAGTACAAGGTAATCTTGCTACACGTGATCCTCTAGGCTATATATAGGTCATGTTTTTGTAGTATGTCATTTTGGGTAAGTCTGATACAAAATTGAACTAATTGTGATACAACATACAACAAATAATTACAAAAAAAAAATGATTAAAACCTACAAATTTGAATAGGATTTGAGTAAAGCCGGTTAAGTGAAAGCATGATCTTGACCGGTCTGGTTTTTAGGGACCGCTTAAGAGGTCAACGAGGTTGTTCTTCCTTAACATCAACACTGGCCGTGATGTTGGCCGGAGCTGACTCAATATCGCCACCGCCTGTTTTAGGTCGGAGATTAGGGAGTGGAGACTGCTGACCTGAATTCTCACTCTTTTTCTTCGCATTCTTATGCCATTGCCTTAATGCTTTCGACGTTTGCTCATCAAACACTGATCGCTTCATCGTTGATCCCATCTGAAAACATTTTTGTCCAAAGTATTTACAATGGACTCTTATTGAAAGAGATAAACTATAAAAACTTTGACATGCCTGAGTCACGAGAGCGTAGAGAGGAAGTGTGATGTAACTACAGAGAAATTGTACTCCCACCCTACATTAACAATAGTACAATACTAATGTGGCTCAATTATAGTAGATTCGAAAAAAACCGAGTTTCTTGTAGGTCAAGAAAACTAAATTCGTCGAAAGTACAGGGGAAAAAGGATCACGTTGATGAATATATAACTTACCCGAGAGCAACTCGTATGATTATAAGGGCGAAATGGTGATGAAAACAGGACCGTAACCCGAACTCGTACTGCAACAGTGGAAACAAGAGTGAGAGAACTAAAATTAAAGAGATTATGGGAAAAGAGAGATGTGTGTATTTACTTACCCATATCCAGAAGAAGTAGGTGATCTCAAAGGCATTCTGAACAATAATCAAGCAAGGTCATTAGAACATAGACGAATACATAACCTTTTCAATCGTTTTTAATCTTTATGAGCGGCGAATGTACCTGGAAGAGAATGAAGTGGATGATATGGAGGACTAAAGCCGGACGACTTAACCAGAAATGTCGGTCAGAGACATTGACTAGTGGCATCCCTTGTATCACCGCGTGTCTCTCCTGAATCTCCAACGCCATGTCTGATATAATGGCCTGAAGCTTGGTTCCTATGGCTAATGTCAACTTCAAACCAAACACAATTAGTCTGTTTCTTTCTATCCACAAGCTCGTAATGATGCTATTTCAAGAAAGCGAAAATGTTCTAAGGTAGATTGAGTCACTTACAAGTGGAGGAATCATGGTGATCACAGCAGTAACATACCACCCTAAAACGGTATGCCAAAACAGTTAGAATCTAAGCTCTGTGTAAGTTATAGAGTATAATAGCACGGATCTAGAAGGACTTGCCGTGAACATCAAATAGTAAAAAGAGCATCACAAAGGCCCATAGCTCGGGTCTGCATTACCGGAATGATTGTAAAAATGCATCAGAATACAATGAAGAGAATGACTGCTAGCTAGCGTAAGAACAAGAAAGCGATAAGAGGTTTCTGCGGTACCTGATTCCCACGACTACCTTGAAGTCGTCTTCTAATGACCTTTTGATGTATTTTTGGAAATTAAACTTCATTCCGGGTGCCAAATGGACCTAAGAAACAGAGGATTTTGGAAACGAATCTCAAAGAAGTTTTCCGGGGAATTTCAAGATTGGTTGCATAAATTTCAAGAATCTCACACTAATAAACCCATGGCGCATCGTCAAGTAGTCAGATTTTCTGACAGATCTCAGCATCTGACGAAAGAAACACATCTGAAGAAAGTAATAAGAGAATTCTCTCTTGCGTTAGATAGATACTAGAAAAGAGAAGAAGAAGCACACAAACAGAAACCATACAATGTAGAAGGAGAATCTGTTTTTCGCCCAAGGATTGACATGCTCTCGAACAAATGATGTCTCGTGAGTGAGCCTAAATCTTGAAGGGTCTGCAAAATAACATCAACCAAACCAAAAAAAAAAACAAATTGATTTTCTGTGTTTTTTCCTAACATCTGAAAGTATAAGCACAAAGCTAACCAACCATTCATCAATTCGTGGTCACTTATGACCTCTTCTTCCCAAACTTTCCATCCACGAATCTGCGTGTAGAAAAACCACAATGACTCCAATCCACCAACAATCAAATACAGAACTATAACATTACATATCTATAGAGATACCTTTGCTCTTCCAAGCATCATGGTTATGGCACTATAAATAACATGAAACACAGCCAAGAAGAAAATGAAGATATGAACTTGATGCAACGCGTTGAGTGATATAAGCGGCACATATCCCTACAAAACAACAACAAGACTCCTCTTCTTGGTCCATTTCCACATTTGTGTAACTAAGCAAGAAAACTAAACAAACAGAAAGAAAGATTGGACCTTTTTGCACTTTGCTGGTGCAGCATCAGCCAAAACACGGCGTTGAAAGTCGAGAAGATGCCTTTCAATGTGATCGGTGGTTTTCGGCTTTTTAGCATGACCACTAGGACCATCGTACGGACCACAAAAGGACATTGCGTGACCGTATCTAGACGGAACACATATGCTTGCAATGTAGTTTTGCCCAAATGTTAGTAACAGAGAAATGAATCCCAAAACCATTAACTCTGCAAAAACCACCAAAAATCAAACATTTTTTTTAACCCAAAATCAAATCTTTCAATGCTTGTTT